AAACGAGTTAAAACTTCTTTAGAAATGTAACTTAGGTTTAAAATAATACATGTATTCTAATGTTGAGCACATGTGACCGTAAACTAGAAGAAAGAAGTACAATTGATTGTGATATAATATAATTTTGGTGCAAGCAGAAATTTCATTGCAATAGATTGTGGATACATGATATAATAAGTATGAATTAATAAATCGAACACTGGATCACTCTTACACTCTTCAGTATAGAATCATGTAATCATGTTATTTAGACGATTAAAACATAAACGAAGCTAGATTTATTCAACATTACATTTTTGTCATCCCGATCATAATTACGACCATTTATTTATTTATTTATTTATTTATTTATTCATTTCCTCTCATAGGGTGGATGGCCCTTTCAGCACAGCTGATTTTCAAAGGGGTCCACAAACATAAAAATAACAATAAATATACAGTGAATTATACAATAATATGTAAAACGTTGCAAATGCAAGAAGTAAGGCAATGAATATGTACATGTATAGTCAAACAAATAAATATCTAACAGATTAAAGTACAAAACAAACAAGCAATAAGACAGTTGATTGCAGATATTCAACTAGGACGACAACAAGCATACGAGTAAAACTGTAAAACCGATAACATAACACAAAAAACATCAAGGTAAACATAAGAATAAAAAAAAAAAAAAAAAACACAAGACAGGAATAAGAGGATGGGTATAATATTTATCGTGTTTAAAAAACTATTTAAAAAAACAACAATAAAAAAAAACTATAAAAAAATATTTAATCAAAAAAAAAAAATATATATATATATCTATTTAAAACATAACCAATAGAATATCAAATTGAAGGTAAAAATTGTAAAAATTGTAAAAAGGGCAAGATAATGTTCAGTCTACATGAGTTCATTCAAATCAATGGTGCGAACAAAGGTAGCCAGTGTGTCTAAGGTTCGCGTTTCAAAAGAGAGGCAATTGAATAATTTGGAGCTATGATAAAAGAAACTTCTTCTCAAAAACTCGGTCTTAGGCTTTGGAAGCTGAATTTTATGATCGCTATTTCTTAAATTGTGTGGATTATGTCGTAATTCAACTCGTGAAGATAAGTACGTTGGAGTTAAGTCGTGCATTATCTTGAATAGCATGATTAAATTTCCTCTTGTCCATCTATCAACGATTGGGATTATCTTTGCTTGTTGGTAGATTTCTCGAGTTCTTTGCTCAAAAGGTGCCTTAACCATAATCCGTACAGCTCTATTCTGTAGAACACGTAGCTTATTTAATACGACTTGAGTAGCATTATTCCAAATTATAGAGCAGTAATCAAAGTGTGTTTGAATAATACTAAAGTATAGCATTCTAGCAGTACACAAGTCAACAATAGGTCTGACTTTACGAAAGAGAAATAAGCCTCGGACAACTTTTTTGCGTACATGGTCTATGTGCAGTTTCCAATTCAAACTAGGATCAAGAATTACGCCAAGATATTTACAACTATAAACTTCTTTCAGTGCATTGTTACCGATGTGTATATTAATATTTACATTATGAAACTGCTTTACTCGTTTATGGGATCCAATAAGCATATATTCAGTTTTGCTCATATTAAGTATCAGCCTGTTAGCATTCAGCCATAAAGTTACAGTATTTAAATCATCATTAACCTTGTTTGATACATCATTGGCACTATTGGAGGAATAATATATACACGTATCATCTGCAAATAATGATATTGATGAATGCTTCACCACATTTGCAATGTCATTTATGAATATTAGGAATAACATCGGCCCCAATATTGATCCTTGTGGGACTCCGCACTCTACTTTCCCAACAGATGATGTAATACCATTTACTTTGGTGACTTGTGTGCGCTCACTCAAATAGTTTTTGAACCAAGATGCACTATTTTGATCAAATCCGTACCATTCGAGTTTTCGACAACTGTCGATTCCTATCTATTAGGGCGTGTTCATGCTTCACTTTTTTTGGCCAGAATCAGGCATCTGTTACGCGTTTAGTTTAAAACACGGTAGCGTCCATGCTCACTTTTGTAGAATCACCGAAAAACGGCTATCACGATCGCCGATCGTAAACTCACAAAAAGATGCGTTTACAATTTGTAAACGCGTTTAAATGGGGTCAACGCACTGACCTAGCTCTAGTGGGTCTACGCATGGACCATGGTCTACGTATATTTTTTTTGTGAAACGCTCAAAATGGCCTGAAACGTATGCAAAATTAATTTTAAACGATTTGGAGCATTTTTATTTTTTGCGCGCGCGCTGACGCGCGGACGTACGCATGCGCGCGCGATTTTTTAATTGAAATTGACCGGACGGATATTGACCTTAATCATGATAAATATGAATGAGAAATGCCTTTCCGTTAAGAAGATATGATCATGAGTAAAAAGTTCCAAAAAAAACACAAAATGGCGCCTGGATGACGTCATGAAGATTTGATGACCTTGAAACACTGATCCGTAGAGATCAGTGGCTGACACAGACACACAAAACACTCACAATGTTAGTCTGCAAGCACAGACTCTAATTTGACACTTTACGAAAGATATCATGTCTGAGGGAAGTCTATCTACATTAATGGCCTACTGTAGTCTCACGATTCAGACTCTGTATTTTGCACAGGTATGTGCCTGCAAACTACTCACATGCCTTAGAATTCTGCTACTGAAGGTGTGTATCAGTAACGCATAGAGAGAGATGGGTCAGTGAGACTCGAGGCGAGAAAAAAAAGTGACGGGAATGAGAAGGAAGAGGGAATTTAAAGGAGCACATGCAAGTTGAGAGAAAGAGAGAGGGAAAGTACGAAAACAAGAGAGAGGAGGGGTGCACATAGTTTGCAGGCACCCATACCCATGTCCGTCCCATAGTGCATAATACAGAGTCTGAATCATGAGACTACAATAGACCATGTATTGTATATTTATTTTGACCATGGTAGGTCCATTTTGACACAGACGAGTAGCTGGACTAGTCTTCCCTCATACATGATACATTCGCACCGCCATGATGAGATGGCTCGCGTCGATGTGGGCGTGTCTTTATAACTTTTTTAACCAATCACGTTGCTCAAAATGTTTCCCATAGCTGAATGGTTTGGGAATCGCAAATTCGCATCCTGGGGTGGTATTCTGAACATTGTTGTAAGTTTTGTGTTATCTTTTGTTGTATCTTCCAGAGATAACACAGCGCTAATATTGTTGTAAGTTGGTATTCTGAACATTGTTTTATCCCTGTGTTATCTCTAGAAGGACCGCCTCTATCTTATCTTTTACCACTGTTGACACGCCCATTTCTATGGACCCTACCAATCAAAATCTGTTTTATATAAGCATGATAAGTAGGTCAACCAATAGAAACACTTTATGCCATATCTGAAGATGCGCCTAGCGCATACTAATCTTGGGCGTAATTAGGTTTTTGAGCATTTAGTACGCGCGTCTTTGATATGCGCTGTGGCATGTGGATCATGAAGACAAATGCTTTCACTATATTGGTTGAGATGAGAGCACTATAAAATCGTCATATTCTAGCATGTAATTTCTTTAAAAGTTCTCATCTGTGATGTTTCCGGTCGACACACAATGTTTTTCTAACTCGTCTATTGGCAAGAAGTTGGTTCTGGGCAAAAAACATTGCCGCCATTATATCACCACGAAAGATACAACAGCCCCCTACCTGTTGTAAATATTGTTGTAAATACCATGAAAGATAAGATAAGATAAAAGATACAACAACTTTCAGAATACCAATTATCTCGACATATTATCTCCCGTGCGCATATGCAAATGAGGATTAAATGCCACTTTATTAATAATACGCACAATTACAAGCGCACCAAAGTATGAGCGCAGGCGCGGCCAATAAGATGAGAGAAAAGATACAACAAAAGATAACACAAAAGTTACAACAATGTTCAGAATACCAACTTTATCTTATCTCCAAAGATACAACAATATTAGAGATAACACAGGGTTCAGAATACCGCCCCGGGACTACAAAGAAAAATACTGGTGCAGGCTATTTCAAAAAGTAAGGTCAACATCTAACTTGAAATTGTGGTAGGATCAACGGAGTCATTCCTAAAAAGTGTATGGGTAACCAAGTTTCAGTTGGTCACACTATGGCGTATATCCTTATTTTTCGTACTTTTCCTAACAAAACAGTATTCGACATATTTTGCCCATCTCGAATCGCGTTAGCTAAAACTGTCTATAGATGGCTCTATGAATGGCATCAGCGCCATCTCACACAAAACAGGCACCGTTACAAATTTAATGGGCACCATCTAAAATAAAACTTTCGGCACCATCATACACTAGATGTGAATCGTCACATATGCAATTGCCGCCAAATAATAAAGAAGTGATGTCCCTTTACCAGCTGACAGCAGGCGGATAAATGTCTTATAATACACAATCATCATCCTACAAAGAAAAAGCCATCACTTAGTCGTACCATGTCTCCTTATTGACACCTGGGAGTGTTTCACAAAGCCTTTTTTCAATGACAAATGACAAAAATCAGTGACAAACCTGCTGGTGACCAATCAGAAGCAAGGATTTCAGTAGCTTATAACAAAAGCTGTAATTTGTCACTGATGACAAGTTTTGTGAAACACCCCTTGGGGTTTATAGCCATCGTTAGTTTATAGTATGATACACAACCAGAAAACTGTATTAAAACACATATGGCATGTTTACTCTCACAAGGAACATGCTTTACAACAGTACACGCTAAGGAATAAAGGTACCATTTTGCTATAATAAATACTATTTTTACGAAATACATTTTTATTGTTTGAGTTTTACAATAACAGAAAGTACTCATATTTCATGCGCTTAAATATGTATTTATATACCTAAAGAATATGTCATTCTATGTATTCAGATCACGGAAAATATAAATAGTAACTTAATCAAATACATTTTATTGTTTGAGTTTCACAATTATATAGTTGATATTATTATATATTACGTACGCTTAAATATCTATTTATATAACTATAATTTTTAAAAAAAACTGATTTGGAAAGAAATGCGGATAAGGGGGTTTGATGGTAATATCTTGGTTTGTAAATTTTCTTTTTTCTTCTACATACTTATGTTATTTGTTTGATTATCAATGTTCCTATGTAATGATTTGTGTTATCTTATAATTGTACCTTTTTTTTGCACGGACCTGGAGAAAACAGCCTTTAGCTTAAGTTGGTGCTGTGCAAATGTAAAATAAACTGAACTGAACTAAACTGAACATTAGTGGCACCCTCTGCCAAATACGCGTAGATGGATGCAAATCTGCACCCCGATTGCACCGCTATTTCTTAGTGTGTTGCAGTATCCCTACTCTCACCATGTGTTATTGTATCGTGACAACTTAAGCCCCGGACACTTTACGATCTGACTACGATCCAATTTTCGAAGAATTTTCCAATAGCATTTAAAATGAACATTCAAACATTAAAAATGTTAAGGATCGAGTATCTGAACAGTCAAATGCTTAATAAAATCTAAATGTGAAGGGATTTCGAGTTTCTATGGAGAAGGAGAAAATCGGCTCACAATCGTAGTGACGTCAGAGCAGCAGTGCAGTCGTCTACGATTTGAAGCCGATTCGGATTTGATTCTAAATAAGATATCCAATTGCTCTAAAATTAAAATTGTTAGTATTTGTTTACTATTATTCAGAATCTTAATCTTGAAGCAGTTGTTTTGATTTCAATATCTAATATCATTGTCATTTCTTTAACAACCGGATCGCAGAATAATCATGAAGTGTGCGGAGGGCTTTATTCTTTCCCCTTTTTTGTAGTGACCGTTATCTTATTCCCATCAACAGGAGGCTATACCGACATGCTCAAGGGAATGATGTCCACCTCTACTGGAATCGGTATTTGCTGTCCTCAAGACTTCACCAGTCTGACCTTTATGACTAGACGTACTACTGCGTTCTTGTAATTTGAACTGACAAGGCCAAAGACGATGGGGTTAAACCAAAAGGTGGAATACATCGACCAGTACATCGCGGCCTTCCAAACAAAGGACAGATTTGAATGCTCACAGAGACAAATTATTGTTAAGATAAGGTAGGGCATCCACACCAGATAGCTGGCTCCCACCATAGCAGAAATCGTTATCGCGCTTTTACACCTCTCCGAGAAACTATTTTGTTCGTTGTCATGCGCATCGGTCGAATAATCACGTGACTGTAGATTAACGCTCGATTGGCGAGCCATCTTGTCCCGTTTCGCCTGCGCGCGTGCGATGCACAAAAGGCGCGCGTTGAGAAGAGTAGTTACAATGACCAAAGATAAAGGTGCTACATGATAAATCGCCATGATTGGTTGCGTGAAAAGTTCAGGTCCATCGATGATAAAATCACAGTAATCAATCAGTGCACCATGAATAGATCTTACCACCCCCGCTGATGCTCCAACAACAAGTGCAACAACCAAGAAGGTTCGAATTCGCGTCCGAGTTAAGATGTTGTAATACTGGAGAGGGCGGGCCACGGCGACGTACCGGTCAATGGTAATTACAAACAGTATAAACTGAGAAACTCCCACGAAGGTTGTGCAGGTAGCTGCCGCTATATTGCATCCAACCAAGCTCGCTATAACAATGTCTCTATTAAAATATACCAAGATCTCCATTCCATAGCAAACTAATCCCCCCAGTATGTCAAAGACCGCCAAAACCCGCAGGCATAAACGCAGATTCTGGGAGAAAAGAGGAAAACTGTACGTTAGAATAATGAGGTGGCAGCCGTTCAGTGTCACGGCAAGGAATAAGCCAAGACAGTCCATGAATATAACCGTGATAAAAGCAGGAGAATATAGCTCAGGGTTCACTGTCGAATTCTCCATCGGAACTCTTGCTTGTCAATCTGGCGGTTACATTTCCTGATCAATTCACCACGCGATACATTTTACAGGCGAACCTTAACAGTCATCATGATTGATCCTTTGCTGCCAATCGTTTAATAATTATCTACCCTCTGAAGAATAGTATTGCTATTGACGTGCTGTCTTACAATTGTACGCTTCATGTCCATACGATATTCAGTTTCCATTAAAATGTGCCCGTGTATCCTGTAAAAATAGATGAGGAAAAAATGCAAGCGGATTATATCAACTCTAGATATCTGATTTATATAGCTACCGAATCATGATTATGACTTTAGAGAAAAGTGCTGGTACTCAAGATAATCGTTAACAATGAATTCGCGATTTCAAGGATCGAAGATCATAACATCTACTTGTTCATGTGCTTCTTTGCGTGAAGACAAATCCCTGTCACCAACAGTGATTTTCCACTATCGAGACTGCGTTTTGTGGCATTACAAACAAAATTGAACGAAGACGCTTCCAAACTGTAATTGCCACATAGTATTATTCCAGTGTTTCAAATATCATGTTGTAAGTAGATGAAAAAGGAAATTTTGATCATCAGAACATCCTACACTATAGGGAATAGTTCCCACGTAGACATATTTGATCGAATATAATTACCCAATCGGTACAAGACGTGTAGCCTGAGCATCCCATGTCTAGAGTGTTTATCGAATAGCGACAACGCTCTACTCTGGAAGATAGCGTAAAATTACTATTGGTCTGACTAATGGGATTAGGGACCAATGTAGAAATGTATTTTCTTTTAAAGTGCATGCTTGAAACTACTATATTTATTTCATTACGTACTTTATATCTTTCTGTTATGTTTTATTGTATTATTATTAATTTTACGTTGCTTTGGTAACCCGCTATTCCGGACATTATCAAGATGGTAATATACCACATTTAGAATCCACATGATCACTACAGATTGAAGAGGAAATACAACTCACACCTATGACGTAGACATTGGAATGTTTTTTATATTGGTACAATCATTACAAGGTTTTTATTGATATGACAATAGCAATGATCAAACGGAAACAGTTAGTTTGATACAGATTGATCACCGAAATAATAAAAAATACATTTCTTCTCATTGATTCAACACAAATTTAATAAAGTATTTCATGTCATACCGATTCCAAACAGAGAGTGAGTATCCAAGTTTCCTGGATCATTCAACACGTAGACATGATACTAAAAAAAGAGGAATTCAGTTGAGATTAATCCGTTACATTGGACCTGAAGTAAGCTCCTGTTGAAAGAGTAGACACGTGGGGTCACAAATGTGAGAAGAAATATATTGTTCAGATTCCTGACCTGTTGATGGTACCAAGACACAATAACGTCCAATGTATTGCGTGCTAAGCGACCTGAAGACAATGATAAAGGAATAGCTTTGCTTTCAGTTGACAAAGTGTTACTCGATATTAATTGTAATATTTTCCCTTCCAGCAGCAAACCTGAAAAGTAATTGAGGAAATACATGATTGCCATTATCACAACTACGTGTATTAACAGTTCCAACAGGCCTATACGCGGAAGTGAATATATTCCCTGTTTAACAACAACACCTGTTGAATTATAATTTTAATGCATGGCTGATTGTCAACGGAACGGAGTTAAGTCGTTTGTTAATTCCCTTTGTTGCTACGGCAGTTAGCCAGTGAAAACGAATTTGTTAAATAAAATTATGGAAATGCAAGCACTACTTTAAACAAACAGAACTTTATTTTATTCCTAGTTCATTTTTCCTAATTGGGGTGTCATATAAAAGGGCAGATACTCAACTTTCTGGAAATGTGATTTTCTCTTTGAAATTCAGATACCGTCCGCCAAATTACTTTTTGGTTTCCTCTCTCCAAATTGATTTTAATCACTCATGCGTGAAATATGTAGTATCAAATGAAAGAGGAGGATCTAAGCTTTACAAATATATGTCATTTATCAATTATAATTGTGATTAAGTTATGAGGAAACATCGATAATTCTCGATTTCGTTTTTTCAAGGACGCACTGTATAGCCTAGCACTATTAGATCTATAAAGATCTATGTAGATTATACCATTTCTGTATGCTGGCACACTTAAGACGGAGTTTACCCCCTACTCTTTGATAGAGGTGCAGCGTATTAATGGGCATATAGGGTGTGACTCTCCTACACAAGGGGCCTCCAGTTATCGTTCCGTCCGAGGAACGGATTGTTTTGCCCTGACACCGAGCCCCTGCCCCCAGGGGCGTCGCTAGACCTTTTTTTCAGTGGGGGGGGGGGGGGATGTAGAGGCCATCGATTACCGACAAATTCATTAATGCCAGTGTGCCAATGTCCACAAAATTAAACCCTATAAACCCGGGGCCAGGGACTAGTTTTCCTACGAACTATATTTAATTGTGCATGCGCACATGGTCATTTACATTGGCCTCATAAATATATGGTTCATTTCGTTAAGACTAGTCAGCATCGTAGCTATATAAGAAGATTTGCAACCCCATTGTGCAGCTAGTGAGTGTGGCGTTTTACGGAACCCGGGTTCAAAGCTCGATGGGGCGATGACAATGATTTTTTTTTTCTGGTGATACTTTGAGATAATTATAGTTGTAGTCTCTCACGAAGTCATCAAAGCGGATAAAGAGTCACAGTTCGAGGAAAAAACAATTCGCCGGCCGACCAATATTATACATCTCACCGAGTTCAAACTTCTGCATTGATATTCGAGCGAGCGAGAATGCCGACACAACTGACCCGACACAGCAATATATCTACGCGTATCTTTCTTGCTCCCTCGAGGAGATGACTCCACCTAATACCCCACCTCTCCTCTGTTATGCTTTACCCCCCCCCCCCCCCCCTCTCTCTCTCTCTCTCTCCTCTCTCTCTCTCTTCCCCGCTTCTTTCGTGTCATTTTCTCTTTTTTTTGTCCTTTTGTCCGTTTCTTTCTTTTCTTTCTTTTCTTTCTTTTCTTTGCCTTTTGTTTCCTCTCCTTTCTCTTTTTCCTTTTCTCTTTCTTTCTTCGCATCTGTTTCCTTTTTTGTCCTTTCCTTTGTTTCTTTTCTTTTTCTTTCCCTCTCATTTTTTCATCCCCCTTTTCTCATTTTTCTCGACGGCAGCGCAATTATAGGTGGGCTGTCGCACCCCCTCTAGCGACGCCCCTCCCCCTCCCACTCAGTGTTATTAAGGGTAATGACAAAAGTACCCTAAATGTGCTGACATTTAGTAAGATACAGATACGGCAAATAGAGAGGTACTGTAAGTCAGAAGAAAAAAAAACTCTTGAAATAAATTAAAAGGGATCGTCAAACTCCTATGCACTAACAAGAGAATACTATATCAGCAATCGATTGATTACAGTTGAATACATATCCTGCATCTAAATTGATATAGTTTTAATGGTTTATTAATATAATTTTGTTTACATTATACAAAGAGTATACCAATAATCAAGTCAGTTTATAATTACTTGTGAGTAGTCGCACTTCATGGTAATTACCATGATGATTACTATCATTCATTAACATTATTATTCAAGTACATATCGTAAACTTGAAAGATAACACGGTCATTTCAAGGCTAAAAATTTGTTTCAGTTTATACAAAGGTCATATCGTGCACGTGGCCTATATTACGGATATCATGGTTTCTTTTCACTGTTTTGACATTTAGATCGTAGCTGGTGTTTTTTGCGGCATGATATGGTACATAATTTTATCTTCTCTACTAAAAATACTATTTTTGATTTCTTTTGTATTTCGTAGTTCATATATTCATTACAATCATACAAAGGTTCATGATAAACATTATATTTTTTTTTCTTCTCGAATTCTCATCAAAAGTAAGTTACTGTTCCTTGATTCTCTAAATGGGTAAAACATTTTATAATATATTAATAAGAGTAGTTTCGTTTACCCTGGTAAGCCTGCATGCATATAGATGCTGTTATTATTTAGGGCCTGCAATTTTTATTTCCCCAGCAGTTACCAGGCACCCATTTACACCTGGATAGAGAGTGGCAAATTTCGATTACTATCTTGGGCTGAGATTCAAACCCGCATCCTTTTGATATTAACCACTTTATACCACGATACCTCCCTTTTACAACTAGGTGCACTTTTCTGCAATTTATTGTACCTTCCCTTTCTCTTTTTTTTTTAAAACTTACTACTTCTAATCGTGATATTCTTCTTATTCTTCCTCTTCTCTTTTTTTTTTCTGTTCTTTCCTTGCTCGGAGGTGTGTTCTTCTTAACTTTGATACTCCTTTACCGTTTCGCCTTTAACCGACAAAATAATCAGACTTTTGTAATAATACTCTTCAAAAGAGAATGATATATATACAAGCTTTGCTTTAAGCTTCCCATTTTCCCCTTTGTTGGTATTGTTTGTCATATTTACACTTCTCTTGAAATACCTTGCTATTTACAGTACAGTATACCTCATTTAAGTTATCTACCCTTTATATTTTGTTACTCTACATCTTGTATACATTTGCATTGTTGTGTATGTAAATTCGAAACAAATAAACTTCATTTCAGCATCAACTTCAAAGATATCCCGGCTTTGGATCCGTCACTGGAAGTATACTTTAACAAAAAGAGGAAACACGTTTGACTTTTCGCGTTAATAATTATCATTCATGGTACAGAATCATACCGGTGTCTCATCTTACGAGTTAGGCGTATGGCAGCGTTCTTGTAACTTCTGTTCACAAGACCAAACACAATAGGATTCAACCAAAACGTGGTGTAGATCAACCAATACGTTGTTACCTTCCCAACAGGAGAGAGGTTCGATTGTGTAGAAAGAATAACTATTGTTATGATAAGATAGGGCATCCATACCAGATAGCTGGCTCCCACCACAGCAGAAATTGTTATCGCACTTTTATACCTCTCTGAGAATATGTTTTGTTCCGTGTCATGGGCTTCAGCTGAATCACGTGATGTAAGTGCGATGTTTAATTGGCGAGTAACCTGGCATCTCCTCTTGTGCGCACGCGCAATGAATAAAAGACGCGCATTGAGAATAGTCGTGACCATGACAAGGATAAGTGGCAGAATGTTGTATATCGTCAAAGCTCTAGTTCCTTTCCTCATGAATAGATTGTCTCCATCGAAGTCGCAGTGGCCAATAGCAAAACCATGCACAGAGCGTCCTACACTCAATGAAAATCCGAACATAAGAACAGCCAATAAGAAGATTCTGATTCGTCTGCGAGTAAGAATATTATAATACTGGAGAGGGCGTGTCACTGCGATGTATCGGTCAATGGTAATTACAAAAAGTGTCAGTTGTGAAAAAAGCACCAACAATATACAAAAACCTACAGCTACATTACATTTGACCAAGGACGTTTTTATCATCGTTCTGTTGAAATAATATATGATGTTTATGCCGTGACATAAAGATCCTCCTGCGATGTCAATGACTGCTAACACTCGAAGGCAGAAATGAAGATTTCCCGTGAAAAGAGAAGTATTCAGAATAAGGACAATCAGATGAAAAACATTAAGTACCACTGAAAGGAGCAAACTAAAGCACTCCAAAAAAATGAGAAAAATGAAAACACCATGGCAGCATTCCTCCTCAGTCGAATTCTCCATCGTAATGTCTTTATTAGAAATTTTGTTTGTTTGGTCTGTTCCTTTATTTTACCTCGCTGCTTAGAAATCATTTGTTTGCTTGTAAGTAAGCAACCATGCGACCGCTAGCTTTACGTTCTCTCCGAGAGGGTAGTTGATAACGCCTTACCAAAGGGCACTAGCGCATCGACGTGGTTTGTAACCGGTTACAAGAACAATGCCCTACCACTGTGTCATCGTGTCTCCTGTGAATCCATAAGCTCCATTAAAATATACAGAGGCACATACAATGTGGGTAGGACCGTTGCGACTGGTGCTCAACAAATATGTTACTTATAAATTGTACAATGCATCAATATTTGACATCCTACTATAGTTTTTGTTTTAGTTCCGATAATATAAATCGCTGGTTTATTAAGAGGAAACTACGCATATGGACGACAGCAAAGTGACGGCAGCAAAAAGTAACAAAACAAAGAGAGTGAGCTTAGTGAACCGATAGGGAAATGCCGAGCATTATCAGCTTGAGTGTTAAAACATGATGAATTAAAGCTGATAAAAAGAACAAGGCCTACGTGTATATATTCTTCCTATAATAGAATTGGTTTCTTTACATAGGGTTTCGATTGCGCAACACTTAAAAAGAAAATCCGTGATTAAGAGCCAGCCGAATACCCATAAAATCTCATAATGTACATGTTCTACATGACGACTTACAATGGTGTGGTTATTTTATATTTGATTGATTTAGTTTCTAAAGGTAATAAATTATACAAATAAGTTTATGTGAATGTTTTGGGTAAGTGTTTTGATTGTTCGTTACACATATCTGATTGCGAAAGAAGAAAAAAGTGTTCACAGTTCGAGATTGTATTGCGCCCATTGAGCTTGGTTAGCCTCCTTTAACGCAGGAAATAGAAAAAAAAATGAAACGGTTTAGAAATTTAAAAAAAAGCATATCCATCGGAGATTTTAAGTCGAAATTTTGTTGCGTTTGTCTTCCAAGGCCTTTGGAAAAGTCTATCAGATCGCACATGCAGCGATTATTGTGTCTTTTAATTATTTTTTTAGGCTTGACTAGTATTTGTTTAGGGGCGAGGTCGTAGTAAGCAAGTTGACGGAATTCAGCTGTCCATAGTTTTGATCTTTGGTATTTTTTAAAAATATTTTCATCACTTTCAAGCACACGAGAAAATCCCAGCTTATTGAATCTTAGAGACATCATAAATATATCATGGTGTTCTTTGAGTTATTTATCAATTATGATTAGAGGGCGATGTTTATTTTTTTTCTGGCTCAAATATTGACTGCGTTATTACAGTGTTTCACTTTTCTCAATATTTTTTTTCCTCGAATACGGTCGTCACTGAGTTTTGCATCTTCCCTTCACATCTTCCAGGGTGCGGTTATTAATAAAGGATAACTGGGCAATTCAATCTTTATTTTTCCCATCCTTCCTCAAGCAGAGAAAACGAAGGCGAACATGAAATAATGTAATATTGGCGTATAACCCTATATATAGTTTGTTTATAATATAGTTACTGTTTACATCACCTTGGCAAAGTTAGTTATAACTAACCAGCTACAATAAGTGATATTTATATATGTGGGTATCATAAGAGCCATCAGAGCATGCATATGATCTTCTTTCCCCAATAAATAATGTAAGCTCATTTTTTATTTGTTATTCAACCTTGAAAACAACTTTCATCTCTTGTCTATATTTCTTACCGTCAATCCATTGTTTCAGTTTCATGACAGTAATCACAAAGGCCATTTTTACAAAGAGTGGTTCTATGCAAGTGGCCAGAGGCGGCGCTCTGGGGGGGGGGGGGAGGGGAGGGGAGGGGGCACAGTGCCCCCACCATTTGTTCAAATACCCACAAAGTGCCCCTTTTTACATAGGAAAATTGCCCCTGTACTTTGACAAGTGCACCTAAGTGCCCCTTCCACTCTCCACCTCTGATAAGTGCCCCTTTTATTTCAACACGTACCCCTTTTCCTTTGACAACTTTCCATTTTCCTTTACAATAAGTGTCCATTTTTCGTTCTCTTAAAGGTAAAGACCAGTTATGGTCATGCGATTGCATTGTGAAAGTAACGTTGTGGAATCGATCAGAAAAGGTTGATCATCTAGCATCTAGCATCTGCAAGGTTCTGGAATCATCAAAATGATAAGAAATTTGGCCCATTCTTCGTAAAGTTACAAGCACTATACACAGAAAGATGTATATGGGACTACCCTATATCTCTCACAGTCCATGAGAGAAACAAATTTACCAAATATATGAATTAGTAGGCGGTTTCCCGGCAAATTTGTTATCATCATGTATTAGTCAAAACATATTCTTTCACATGATTGGTAATGAGAGCTTTCATTTCATTTTTTGAAATTGGGGCGTTTCCAATACTGGTCTTTACCTTTAAGTGCCTTTTTTAAATGTCTCACTAGTAAGTTCCCCTTTTCAGGTACGAGAAGCGCCCCTTTTCATTTTTGATGAGCGCCCCCTTCACCTCTGATAATTGCCCTATTAAAATCTGAGAGGATCCCCTTTCGCTTTGACAAGTACTCATTTTCCTTTGTAAAAGTGCCCCTTCCCCTTTTAATAACTACCCCTTTTTAACTCGGATATTAAAGCGCACCTTATATTTTCACATGTGTCCCCTTTCCTGTATAATAAGTGCCCCTTTTCCTTAAGACATGTGACCCCATTTAAAAAAGAGCCCCCTTCCCTTGCCATAAATGCTCTTTTTCATCTATGAAAATAGTTCCTTTTTATTCTCATAAGTGCCCCTTTTTTATCTCTTGTAAATGACCCTATTCAATTCTGAGAGATACTCGTTTTACTTTGACAAGGGCCCCTTCCGCTCCTGATAAGTGCTCTTTTCATCTCTTATAAATGCCCCTTTCATTTTGGTACGTCCCCCTTTTTTCTTCCTAATAAATGCTCTTTTTTCTTCTTATAAGTGCCCCTTCCCCTTCTCATACTAAAACTCCATTTTATCTTTGATAAGTGCCCCGTCTATTGTAGTATGTGCCTCTTTTTCTTTTTAATAAGAGCCACTTCCCCTTCTCATAAAAGCCCCTTTTCACTTTTAGATTTATCATTTGTGCCCCTTTTTCATATGATAAGTGCCTCTTTTCATTTATGGTCAGTGCCCCTTTTCAGATCCGATAAGTGCCCCTTTTCACCTCTGATCATATAATTACCCTTTTAACAATTATATGTGCCCCTTTTTTCTTTCTACTAAGGAACCTATCCCTTTTTATTAAATGCCCCTTTTTACTTTTTATAAATGCCCCTATCAAAATATGATGGGTGCCTCTTTTCCGTCGACAAATTCCCTTTTCCCATTCTAATAAAATCCATTTTTATCCCTTGAATTTCACCTTTAAAGTTTACCCATGACGTCAAGAAATGACAATGTATTCGCCATACATTGTCATTTCTGAATGATATTTGATATGCATCAATTTGATATAACGTGAAATAACAAATCTCTGGTAAATTATTGCCATGTTGAAACTATATCATATTAAATCTCTTGCCAACAATGAGAATAATTGGCACCAGATTCATTTTACCATAGAGGACAATTGTTTCATGAGCATGATGAGTAGCTATCTCCCTCAAATGGAAGACTAATCAGTTTTCATAATTTTAGTCAAACAATTTCTTAATCAAATTAATCCAACTAATCCCAGGCGCGGATCAAGGATTTCTTAGGGGAGGGGGCCCAATTGTTTTATTCTTGTTTGCTCCCGAAAATTTGAAAATCACGCCGGCCGAAAAGTCGCTCAGTGGGGGAGGGGGGAGGGGGGAGGGGGGAGGGGGGAGGGGGGTAGTGAGCACCTTATTTTTTTTTTGGGGGGGGGCATCGGAAATTTGAAAATTTGCACCCCTCCCCTTTGAGCGCCGGGGGGGGGGGGGGCATCCCACAAAAAAAGTTACAAATCACGTGTTTGTACATGTTGTTTTTTTCCCAAGGGGCGGGGGGGGGGTCCGCCACTGACCAATCCTATAAATGCAGAATTCCCCAAATGCATGAATAATACTTTACAAGTGTATTTAGCGTCCCATATCAATCCGGAAAACAAAAATAGATCATCCTTCCTGTGTCTTTTCCTTAGCGTCCTATATCAACCCGGAAAAAATGATAATCCTTAACAATATAATTGTTGGGTCATAAAGAGGATACTTATTTTTAGTTTCCTCTTCCGTTTTCTGCATAAAATGCGTACCCAATAAACAAATTCACGTGAAAATCACGTCAATATCATGGGATCGACTTGAACAGATTTACGTTCTTCAAACACTTGACATTTACGTGATTGTGTTAACACGTTTCTTGCCTTAGGTAACTTATAAAACACGTACACTAACAGCCTTTTTCACACACAGCTAAAATTCTATTAACATGATTAGTTTAAAGGGCTTTAAACTAATCACCTGTACATACGACATCATTCACACACAGAAATTTCGGTGCGATCGTTAATCGTTTCGTGATTAACTACTGCTCGTTAAATGCGCAGTAGTGCCATTGCGCATTTGAAGGTCATGTCATATCAATCAAAGCGCACCCTCCATCCAGTTTAAACACGTTTAAACACGAATAACCGTTCACACACAAAATGTCAAGCTCTCTAGATACGAACTTCGTATCTGCAGCCTGCTTTTAGGGGCGTATGAATCGCGACTTTGTATCTATCCCACCATCGTATAAACGATGTTCACACAGGGAAAATTTTCTATAAACATGTTTAAGACTGTTGAGTTAAACACGTTTATACTAATCATCTCTAGAAACGATGAATTTTAGCTGTGTGTGAAAAGGCTGTAAATCACGCAATTGTCACTGGAATATCACCATAATAACGTGATTATCCTTACCTTGCATGGAGACCATGGTTTGTAAACCTAATACTCCCGTTTTTGTTTGGTTATGACATAACATCTTCATCAACGAATTTATCGCATTCTTTAGAAGTTTTAGAATCGCGTCACAGAAACACGTGAAGCGTTAGTGATAGTTTTAGTCAAAATATCTGCGTGAAATTCACATGAATATTAAGAGGCTGACTTGAGATGAATCATGTTCTTCCTTTACGTGCAGCAGATTAGCGACAAGTCGCGCATTTGCACTAATCACCCACAGAAATCGATATGAGCAATCACCGACGGTATTTTGGGGGTTCTTTTCCGGTAGTGTACTTGACATTCCAAAAAAAATGACGATTAAAAAAAAAGGATGTTAGGGATGTGTGAATGGGCCTACACAATGAATAAAATAAAAAATCTCTGGTTGTTGCCTATATATCATATCAAATCCCCTGCCAACAAAGAGAATAATTGGCACCAGATTCGTTTTATCATTGGGGATATTGTTTTTTGAGCATAATGAGTAGCTATCTCCCTTAAATAAAAGACTAATCAGTTCTCATAATTTCAGTCAAACAATTTCTTTAAAGCTTAT